GGCCTCACCCTCCGGCCCCCCCTTTTTGACCCCCCAGAATTCCCAAATTTCTGGGAATTCCCCCCAGAATTCCCAAATTTCTGGGAATTCCGACCCCCTGAACCCCCCAGAACTCCCAAATTTCTGTGAATTCCAGCCCCCTGAACACTCCAGAATTCCCAAAATTCCGGGAATTCCCCCCAGAATTCCCAAATTTCCGGGAATTCCGACCCCCTGAACCCCCCAGAACTCCCAAATTTCCGGGAATTCCGACCCCCTGAACCCCCCAGAATTCCCAAATTTCCGGGAATTCCGACCCCCTGAACCCCCCAGAACTCCCAAATTTCCGGGAATTCCCCCCAGAATTCCCAAATTTCCGGGAATTCCAACCCCCTGAACACTCCAGAATTCCCAAATTTCCGGGAATTCCCCCCAGAATTCCCAAATTTCTGAGAATTCTGGTTCCCTGAACCCCCCAGAACTCCCAAATTCCGGGAATTCCGGCCTCACCCTCCGGATCTGCCTTTTTGACCCCCCAGAATTCCCAAATTTCTGAGAATTCTGGTCCCCTGAACGCCCCAGAGCTCCCAAATTTCCGGGAATTCCCCCCAGAATTCCCAAATTCCTGTGAATTCCGGCGCCCTGAACACTCGAGAATTCCCCAAATCCCGGGAATTCCGGCCTCACCCTCCGGATCCGCCTTTCTGAAGGCGTTGGCGGCGTCCACGAGGCTGGAGGCGGCCTCGTGTTTGCTCTGGAGCTGCAGCTGCAGCGCGGCCGCGCGGGAGAACGCCGAGCCCGCCTCTGGAAAAACGGGAAAAACGGGAAAAACAGCGGGAAAAACATCGGGAATCCGCCGGGAAAATACCGGGAAAAAACGGGAAAGATATCGGGGGAAAACGGGGGGAAAAACGGGAAAAAACAGGGGAAAAACAGGGAATAAACATAGAAAAATATGGAAAAAACCAACGGGAATTCATGGGGAAAACAACGGGAATTCCTTGGGAATTTCTGGGATGAACCC